TGTCCTGTCCCCCTACACCGCGTCTGATCATGAAGTGCCAACAGTGTGCCCGGAAGTGCCAGCGGCATGCCGCTGCCACTTGTGGGTTGGTGGGTTTGGCCATGGGGGAGCCCCCCGCCCCGGTCAGCGGGATTGGCTGCGGGTGGGGCGGGAGGCACCAGTTGCCCATGAAGGGAGTGACTATCCTGTGAGAAATTTGCCTCCACAGGTAGTTGGGTATTCTTGTCTTTGATAGATTTTAAAGTCTGGGTGAGGCAGGAATCAGAAGGGAACTGCCACTGAAGTCAAATGACAATGGGACCATCTTTAATCCTGGAATTTCCTATCATTGGTGTGCTTGGTTTTGCTTCCTAAATAATGCCCTTTTAACATGGAGAGGGGATGCGTGCACAGACACGTGTGAAATGCTTTAAGATTAGACTAGGATAAATGGCTTGAAAATTGTTAGTGGAGGCTATTTCTGAAATTTTTCAACTTTAAAAGGAATTAATGTTTTTGATAGTATCAAGTACTAATTTTGCAAAATAATTTAAGTTCAGTTTTTCCTGCCTAGTTTTATATTAAACGATGCATATAAATATTCTGTGTATATATAAGTACTATTTCTTATTCATCCTGTCACTGTTTAAAAAAATATCTCTCTGAGGTGGAAGTGTTTGTTACTGGAGCTCAGCTGAAAATTTGCGTTTTTAAATTTTGGGAAAGGTTGAAGAAAAAATGCTAAATCATTCCTGAAAGATTAAAGAGTTTGAAAAATGTATTTTTTGTCACTGATAAAATGTTATTGTGACATTTTTCTCCCAAAACTGTTAAGTGGCTTTAAAAAGTTGGCATATGAATACTGTTTATTGAGGAGCATGTCCATGACAGGTTTGGAAAAAATGTAATTGAATCAACAGGTAAGTGAGGGAGAACAAATTAGTGCTCAGGAATGTGCTGTCTTTTCCTAAATGAAGTACCTGTGTTCTTGTTGTTGTATCATTACACAGTTTAATTGGTTAGCCTGATGAATTATATAAAGTTGCTGCTGGAACATTTTGAATAAGGGAGCTTGTAAATATAGTCTTGAAATGGAAATGGATAAGCAATGCCTCTGCAGCTGGAGCAATAAGAAATCATGATATGAAAAACAGTTGTTGAATTTGTTATGGGAAAATGCATCTAACGCTAATTCTAAATTTTTATCTAACTGGACTAAATTTTTATCTAACTGGACACAATTAACTCAGAAATCCCTGGTCAGAAAATGTTATTACTCTCCCACGCTAATAAGGAACATGTAGGAGTATAGGCAACCTCTGCTTAGAGGTCTTAGTTGGTTCCGGAAAAAACAAGCGTTAAGCGGAACTGCACTAAGTGAAAACTACTTTCCCGTAGAAATTAATGTAAATAAATATAATTAGTCCTGCACCGCCCTGGGCTGGCACTGGCACCGGCGCCAGCCCTGTGCTCAAACCTGCCCTCCCACTTGCTTCTGTTCACCGCTTCTCATCACTGCTGCCGCCGCCACTTCGCCCCACTCCCCTGCCTGCCTGCCAGCTGCTCCAGCAGCACGTGCCAGTTCAGGCCGCACACTCCTGCCACCCTGCCCTGGGCCCCGGCCGGCCCTGTCCCCAGGTCACTGGCATGGGCCCAGCACTCCACACTTGCCCGCCCACTCACTGCCACTTACCGCTTCTCCCCACCCCCCATTCCACCCACCAAAACTTGCTCATTCCATTATAGCACCACTGAGTGCTATAATGGAACTGGCTGAGTGCTTAGTGGAATCAGGTATGAGTTTTAAATGAACGCTATAATGAAATAGTGCTAAGTGAAACCACGTTAAGTGGGTGTTGCCTGTATTGGAAATGAAAGACTGTAGAAAAAGATATAGTCCTCTTGTTACTTTACTTTGTACAATTTGTATTTTACATATAGTCAGTGTCATTAACTGATGACCTTTCTATTTACTTGAAGAGTTTCATCCTCATATCAAGGGACTGCCAGCAGTGATAGTCAATTTAACTTCATTAATCAGATTATCAATATGGGCCTAATCTGTAAACAATTGCACTTAAAGAGTTTAAATTCCTTGCTCATACTTGATGAGCATACCAAAGTAATACTGCTGGGGGATGTATTCAGACAAGCAGTCCTTCACTGGTGCTAATACCCTCAATTTCTCCGCTTTTTGGGGGGGAATTTTTAGATAACAGGAAAGATGTCTTTTTTTTAAACCACGAGAAATTAGCAAGGAGGTTCTGAGCCATGTGTAGTAGTTTCACAACCTACTTGTAATCTGTTTTAAAAATACTTTTTTTTCATTGCCAAGATGCAACCATCACATTGTAAATCTAAGCATTCACATTTTTTTTCCTATTTTTATGACATTATAACTGCCAGCTTTGGGTGCAACTGATATTTTTAATGTCCTAAAAGGTACTTTTTCCTCCAGAAGATCAAAACTGTCAAATCACCTGGTTATGTGATACCCTTTCTGATCATGTATTAGTTGCAATAAAGGCCCCTAGTTATGCTGTAAGCATGGTAACATAATTGAATTGTACACCAATATAATTCCTTAAATTGGATTTTGTTCCTTATGGGAGTGATATGTTTTTAAATGTAATATTATTTTACTTCTGATAGACACTCTGAGAAACTTAACTGTGTTCTTGAGAAACTCAAATTACTAAAAGTTGAAAGAGAAGCAACCTAATTAAAAAATTACTGAAGTTAAAACTTCGAGACTCTTATAGCAAGGAGGTAGATAATCTAATGCATTAATTTGTCATTCATACCTCATCAGATCTGAGCATGTTTAATCTTTCTATTATTGCAGTTTCAAAATAATAATTGAGATTATCACGAGCAAACCATTAATTCAGAATTATCTAGATCATGGAGCCAGCACAATTAAATAAGAAGTCTCATGTTTCATCTAGGTTGTATTTCTATTTTAATCTGCATTGGTTGTGAATCTGTGATAATTAGAGACTCTAATTACCAGTAATTAGAGCAGTAAAAAATGTCCTATTCTCTCCACAAAATTGCATTAAGTAGCTATGGTGCCTCCACGGGATGCCAACATCAGTGACAACATGTAAGGAAAAGGAATCTATGTATCAGTTCAGTCCAGCATTGTAAAAATAATAGTAAATAATCTACCCACTTAGCAGGCTGCATTAAGGAGTGTCAAAAGGCAAAAAACAGATTCAGTTCCTGCTGGTATTGTAGTAAAACAGTCTCTCAAAATTATAATTTGCATCTCTGGCAAGTGTGATGCTTGTGCTTTGTCTATCTGGCATATGAAATTTATAGTTTAATTATTACAACAGTGATTTCTTTGAAAAGTTGTTGCCAGACAAAATTCTCTTTCCTGCCCAGCACTTTCCAAAAAATGGTTTCCCTGTCTCTGAACTGTCAATATTTTCCCTCTCTCCCGCCTGGTTTCTATACTCCACTTGTCTAGCACATCCTAATATACCCCACCCTGCAGACAGTTTCTAGTAGGTGTCATGCTCATTGAACACTCATTGAAATCCATTGGTTCACATTCAGTAGTGTTTACAAGATGAGGCCTCGTATTACCCATTCTGTATTTTTCAAATGTTACTGTGGCTTCTCCTTTCATAGAAATCTCTAAAATCATTTTAGCTTTCTCTGAAAAGCTGTGAAAAAATGTTTACAAAGTTGCAGTTGACTTGCATAAAAATACAAGATATTCCAGTGGTAAACAGCATTTACTAGGCTATACTCATGTTATTCTCTGCTTTCCTTGCTTTACTAAATTTGCCTGTATTTTCTAAACACTTTCTTAGCTCGAAAAACAAAGAAGAAGATAAAAGGAATTCAGCAGTCCAACGTGGCAGCAGTTAGAGATACTCCTGAAAATCCTGGAAACAAGTCTATAGTTCCTGCATCACTGCCACAGCTAACCCCTACCCTGGTTTCCCTGCTGGAAGTCATTGAACCAGAAGTTTTGTATTCGGGCTATGACAGTACGCTACCTGACTCAAGTTGGCGTATATTGTCAACTCTCAACATGTTAGGAGGACGACAAGTGGTAGCTGCAGTAAAGTGGGCAAAGGCAATACCAGGTAATATATAAGTGTGTTCAATAAAAATGCCTTTATTTTGTCACAAGGTTTAATGCAAAATAATTAGTCTGCCCTTTTTTAATTTGGTGGTTTCTTTCAGTTTCTTAAAGGACAAATTCCTACTAATTTCCGTGTTAAATGGTGTTTCAGATACTTATCTTTGAGAAGGGCAAAACAGACAAAATGCAGACCCAAAATCTGTTTCTGATTTATGATGATTACAAAATGAGGTCATTCTAAGTGAACTCTTCAGTCCCAGTGTGCAGAAAACAATATTTTGAAAACAGAGAAAGAAAAATAGTCTTGGTTCTGTTTCCACATCACTTTATGATGCTGTACTTTATTATTATTTTTAGAAATAGGGTTCTCGTGACTTGTGGACTAACTTCTGCTTATGTAATTCCTTTCTTTTTTACTGATTCGTCTTGCATCTGTCCTTCTCCATACCCATTTTCTCTTTTTTCCCTCCACTGTATCCATTCTTCTTACCTGAGGTATCTCCAGCTTTGGACTAGAAACTGCTAAGTTGGTTATTTCTTTCTTCTTTTTTTTCAGGAACAGTAGCTGTTAATTCAAAGTTGGGTATGTTATATGGGGAATCTTGAAGGAGTCTTGTAGTAAGCCTCCCATTTATACATTCAGAAAGAATGCCATACTTATATTTTCTTTTAGTTTCCAATTACTTTTAAGAGTGGGTTACTAAAATAAAACCTCGGGTTCAAATATTATGTGCAGCGTATTGTTGTATGGACTTGGGAAAGACCTGTGATATTTAAAGGTGGAGTATCAATGTGCATTGATAGAGCTATGAAAAGGAAGTTTTTCAAACCTGTAGAGGCTTTTTTCAGTATCATTAGTCACCTGTTTTCATAAGCAAGTGGCCAACTAGAGTTACATAAATTGCCCAAGAATGTTCTAGGCACAGTATACAGGTCTACCACCCAAATGGCATACAGTCTTCAGATGGCATGTCGTTTCCTATATTACATAGGAAAGGGGTAGAGACAACGTGAATTATCCTTTCATTAAAAATGCTAGATTTATCTTTTGGGTGGGAAGCAGAGAGGGAAATAAACATGTGCGGAGTTACAAAGAAAGACTCAAATGTATATGCACAGCATACATGAAAATAGGGCTTATGGAAATTCCTCTTTCCTAATGGCAATCTGGTGATAGTGGTGTTCTGTAAGATCCTGTGTACCTTTATAATGTTTTCAGTTAAAAGTTATATGATAAGGGTGTAGGGGACAATAATAAATTCCATGAATTGACAGTGGTTTGTTGGTCCGGAAATGTTAGGAACAACTGCTAGGTTAGTTTGCCTAGGGAATTTAATTTGATTATCTAACGGCATTAGGTCAACCAGATTCACCACTTAGGTTTTCTTCCAAATGAGCAATATGGATGTTTTTTTTTAATCTATAAAGATGGGTGCTTTATTTTGAAGTAGATTAGGTTGAGAGGATTTGATTTTGCAGATATTAATTCACCAGACATCAATTTAAACATGCTTGGGAAAATTGAGGGAAAGTGACCTCTTTGTATGTCAAGGGTCTGAAGAAGAAGAATAAATTCAGTGTGAAATTCAAATGTAATAAGGACTTGACGTGGAAGAAAATCTTCTTAAATATACCCAAGACTTCACATAAGTTACTCCTACAACTTAAGGGCTGCCTGCTGCCTACATTTTGATTGTGCTCAATGAAGCAGTTTTAGGACATGCATCATTTTTTCATTATCTTCATTGTTTCTGATCATTCTGTATATTGCTATAAGGTTACAGGCAGTTGATGTTGATGAGTAATGTGGTCTGTGTTCTGTGATTGGTAAGTACTGTGTGAAACTGCTGTTGAATAAGAATGAAGTTTGAAGTCAAGACATTTATTGGCCAGTGGATTTCACTTAGAAGTAAAAATTGTATCACCTTAATTGTATCACAGGACAGTTGAACCAGTTATAGTCTAACGTCTAATTAGGGCAGCAGTTCCCAAACTGGGGGTTGTGAGCCCAAATGGGGTCGCAACATCAGTGGATGCTGTCATGGTGCGGCACTCTTCCCCACTTCGGAGACCTGAGGGAAGAGCAGCAGGGCAGGGAGCCCCAAGCCTGCAGTGGTCAGCCCACATCCCCCCTCCAGGTGGTCCACTCTGGCTGTCACCCGTGGAGGAGGGGACAGGTGCAGGAGAGAGGGGGGACAGGGATCCAAGCTCTGCACTCCAGCCTCAGCAGCTGCTGCTTCCTGTGGGCATCAGCTGGGGCTCAGGTGCTGCTGGGTTGGGGGTCAGGGGGCTGCGGGTCCTGGCCCTGGGGCACCTAGGGAGAATGGGAGGTTGCAGATTGGGAGTGAAGGGCACCAGTAGGGCCAGGGGGCTGGGGGTGGGTAGTGAGGGGGGTTGTGGGTGCCTGCAAATTCAAAGTGAGGGGTCATGCTGAGGAAATGGGGTCATAAATGTGGGCATGCTAAGGAAAAGTTTGGGAAATACTGTATTAGGGGATACATTAACTGCAGTATTGTCTTTTGCAGGCTATCTTTAATTGACTGACTCTCAGTGACACAAAAATGTTTTTTCAATGTTTAATATTAAACTATCATCTGTAGTTCTCTACAGTTTCCATGGCAGACTGACATGCACCTTGATTTTAGGGGGTGGGAAATGAGCACATTATGTATTTCTAAAGGTGCAAGTATAACCCCTTCTGCTACTTCCTTTGAATGAGTTTCTGCATTACGTATACTTTTAAATGTGGAAGTCTACCAGTTTAAACCAGCTCAAGAATTTAATGATGTTCGAAACTTCCATGACAGTCTGAGGACTTCTATGACAGAGTTGGTAATCCTGGCAAAGGAGTTACTACCTTGGATCCTGTGGCTTTACTATTGCATTTCTTCATGTAGAAAAATTTGTGTAGCTTCTTTAAAGTATGCTAAATAGCTGAATATCATCTTGGTATACATTTACAAATTTGCTGGTTTTGCAGTTCTTTAAAAAATGCATTTTGTTTTGATCAACAGCAAGAATTTGCAGATAGCGCATACAGCATCCTTTCCAGTCTCTTCTCTTTTTCCTCCCTATCACCAAAAATACATTTTGTACTTTCCATCATACAGATGTACTTTTAGTTTGATCAGATTATTTAATATGTAACAGAAAATCAATGCAGAATTTAATTGTATCTGATCATTGCAGTTTGACACCATTTTGATGTTCCTTCAGATTTTTATTTAATCTTTGTACAGTAATCGTAGTTTTATATTTTAAGGTAATGCTGTGCATTAGTAACATTCTGTTCATTTTGGTGATTATCTGGCTGATAAGAAGTGTTCTTTTTCAACTCAAAGTGGTGGTTTTTCACCCGTCTGCGTTTTTTCAGGTTTCCGAAATTTACATCTGGATGACCAAATGACCCTTTTGCAGTACTCCTGGATGTTCCTGATGTCTTTTGCTTTAGGATGGAGATCATACAAGCAGTCAAATGGAAATCTGCTGTGTTTTGCACCAGATCTGATTATTAATGAGTGAGTAGTATAAGAGCTATTTTTCCTATCTTGAGTGCTTCTTTATTTGAGCTCTCAGTAATATTTTCCTAAAGTAAAAGTATGTTGTTTTAAAATCCTAGCTAATGGAAATCACCAGGTAGCAAAATTGTGCAGTCTTACTTTTACACTGGTAAGTCATCTGCAAAGCCAGTTTCCTTTAAGCAGATGATGAGTACTTGGTAGGTAAGCAAATGAAAAGTGTATATTTGGGGAGAATAAAATATTCTGTATTTAGTATTACGGATTCTGCATCACTTGTTTAAAATCATTGATATTATTGGTTCAAACAAAATTGATTCTAAAAAGATGTTTGATTGTTCCTGGAGGATAAAAACGTTGGGTAAATGATGTAAAATTCTGATTGTTCCAATGCCTTCACATTATAAAAATAGTAATAGACTAAGTCTTGATCAATTAAATTAGTTTGTGGCATTTCTGATACTGTTGATCTGGGTCCTGATGTTTTGAAGTGCTGAGCACCTACAATTGAAGTCGGCCTCTGCAAACCAGCTCCTTAAACACATGATTTTAAAGTTGATATCACTGCCTAGGATGCCCAGGATGACTGTGAGGTCAGGATGAGCCTACTGCATTACTAAAAGAAAATGATCTTAGTCAGATTTAACCAAATGACCCTGAGGCTAAAAGATGTAGGGTGCTGATTCATTCACTAGCTTTTTTTTTCATGTTGTGTACTCTGGTAGTTTGTTAGTTTGATATATTTTTTTTTTTTTTGGTTTGGGGGGGGGGGGTTGGTTGCTTTTTAACAGATAAATATTTGTCTCCTAAGTCCAGAAAATAACTTATAATAGGTCTCCTTTTATTATCAATCACTTTTGCTGACAAATTATTTGTGCTGCTCTACTGGCTTTTTCTTATTCTTGTGGATTTCTACTTGTGTTACAGTGTATTTTATGGCATTTTGACTAAAAATCTCTTGACTGACTTGATAGCACAAAGCAGTGTATAAAATCTAACACTCTGAGGTTGCTGACCAAAGTCATTTGAGAGAGAGAGACAACATAACCACCTCTAGACTTAAAATAAATGTAAGGCTTTAACTGTGAAAAATGTGGAATTGCCTTCCCTCATATTCATGAACTAGAATATGATCCCTGTGGATCATATAAACTGTGAAATAGTGTTATTTAGAGTGAGTCCAAAATATATAGCCATTACATTATTTTATCTTGATAATTTTAATGGCAGTGTCTTGCAAAGTTCTGGAAATGCCAGAAAATGTCTGGAAGTTGGCATCCTTGCTCGTTGGCATTTGCTGTTGTTTTTGAAGTTATAGGTACAGAAATAAGTTACTGTGAGGTAACCTAAGGGGTGCATGTCAGATACTCTGTGGTAACTGCTGATATTCACACTTACCTGCAGTAAATGCAAGGTAGTTTACAACATTTTCATTGAAGGGTGAGAATGTGCATATGAGCAGTCACCATCAATACAATGCAGAATTTAATTGCATCTGATCATTGCAGTTTAACACCATTTTGATGTTCCTTCAGATTTTTGCACTTGAATTTCACATTTGCTTGCCTAACTAACATTTTCATGTGCCCATACCCTGAGATCTGATTTCTAATCTTGATCTTATGGTTTGAAATTGTTCATAGTACATAAAGGGATGCTGCTACTACTTTACAGGAAATCTGAATCTTATATGTGGCTATGGCACATGTTTGCTTTATAAACTTAAACCAGTGGTCCCAAAATTTTTTGAACCAGAGCGCGGCTACTAACGCTCACCATTTTGCAGAGACTTCCTCATATAACCTTGCCATCGAAGTTCTAATTCAGACCACTGTGGAGGCATGCCAGGCATAGTGCTATCCAGGGCCAAGTTATGGACCACCTGCCATGGCCTCCTGAACCACACCATGGGAATCAGTGCCTTAGGCAACATAATTAGGACCAGTTCTTGCAACAAGGCTTTTGATTTTTTGGGAGAGCAGAACTTTGTGTCAATTTTTCCATCATCAAATTAGGGATGTCCCTGGGTGGTTTGAGACTTTAGTGTTTGGAAAGTAGTATAGATCTGAAAACTAACATGCCAAAGAAATCTTTTCCATTCCATTTCATTGCTTGTCTAAATATTTGTCTTGCCCACTGTGAACTTGATTTGGTTCTTTAGAGCAGCATTTCCCAACCTTTTTCACCCCACGGCACACTTACCTAATCAAAAAGCACCGTGGGACACTGGATGTGGGGGGGTGTCAGCTAGATGCCGACGGGGAGGGATGGTGTGCGGCTAGCTGGACAGCATTTTGGGCTGAAGCCATGCTCTTTGCCTGGCTGGAGCCATGCTCCCTGTCTGTCTGTGTCCGCAGCAGTAGCAGGTGGGGGGCGTGGCTCCAGCCCAAAATGCTGTGGCACACCTGGACGTGCCTGACAACACACCAGTTGGGAAACCCTGCTTTAGAGTAATAACATAGCAAAAGCATTGGATTTTTACTCTTCTCGGGTCTTTCATGCATTAAACGTTTAGAATATGTCTTTGTGGAATAGCTAATGCCTTCATGTGGCAGAAATAGTAAAAATTAATTATTCTGGCTGTGCTAATAGGATTTATGCTTCCTAATGTACTAAATTGGGGCATAGAATGTTTTACCTGAGAAGTCTGCTATTACTTATTACAGTGGTTTAAATATACATAAAGCTTTATGAGTAAGACCATGTCACTGCTCCAAGGAGCTAACAGTTTAAGAGCAATACTTTTGCAACCTAATTCTTAAACATTATTAATCTAGGTGCATATTCTATTTTAATTATGGTATTTTTTTGGTCCAAGTTAGATGTCATTAACTCTAAGTAAAGCCTTTATATTGAGAAATTAATATCGGGTTAGTGGCATTGTGCTTAAGGTTTATTTAGCACTTACATTCTAACTTACTGTTTTTCAGTGTGGTTTACAATCCTTTAAATTACCTTTCTAGCTGTAATTTCCCATGTTTCACTCACCAGTTAAATACAGCTAATTCTGAGTAAAATGTAGCAACTCATAGCTCATAAAAGCAACAAGGAATTATAAAACAAAAAATTGAGAATATTGTATTGAAACTAGAAGGGCAATTTTGTGCCCTGTAGACCCAATGTAATAACTATACCAGAATAATTGCAGTGATGGGATTTTGGCGACAATGCTGTAAGTAATACCTCAATACCTGCAAAAAGTGCTTTTGGATTTTTAATAGTTACAGTTGGTTAGGGACACTTCTTTACAAGTCATACACAAATGGTATCTCCAGGAACACAGCATCCCCAAATGCTACTGTAGGCCTTTAGTTCAATACTAACCCACTGGAATTCTGCAGCAGATCTCTGACTTCCCCTGTAATAATTTCAGAACTCTAACAAGGGAAGACAAAGATACAGCAATACAAGTTGCGTAGTCTTTTTATCTGGTGAAATATGCATAAAGTATGCAAACATTTTCATACCCCCCTCCTCCCCCATTCCTTACTTGCACATTTCCCAGTGACAGCAACAGAGTTAATCTTTCTTTGGTCTCATCTTTTTTAATTTAACTTACACGGACAAATTTCCTCCTGCTTCATTTTTTCACCCAATTAAAATAGAATTGTCCATTCTTCCCCATATCCATATTATTATTTCAAGTGAAAGTCTTTCCTTTTCTTTAACCCGGTGACTTGCATTGCATAAATGAGGATAAAAAATCACTAGAATTGGCAAGACCTTGCTGAGTTACACATGCTACCCCATGTATGGTTATAGCAATTCAGTTGTACAAAGCTGGAAAAAAAGGTTCATCCCATGGATTCAGAGATTTATTATGTAATAAACTTAGTATTTATGTCACATGCAATGATCATCGTGGAATACCTATGAAAGTAATAAATACTTTTCTTAGTATATGTATGCCTCTCACCTAAATAATACTTCACAGATGGTTAATTTTACCCTCCCCTTTGAATAAAAGTAGTATTCCAGTTTTCTTAATGGGAAGTAATAGAGAAGTTACTCAACTTAACTGAGGGTACAAAGGGAAACTGTGGCAAAACACAGTATTTCTATTGACTCTCAATTCACAGTCCTAAAAACTAAATTCCCTTCATTCAATTATTTCTTCAACTTTACAGTCACTGGAGCAACAGTAAAGAGAGCTGGAATAGAGCAGGGATCCAGTTGATTGTCTGGCTCTCAAGGGAGAAAGCCTGCTTTTATGCAAAACAACACCATAACATACTTTATGATATTGTAAAGGTATCTGCATAGCTGCAGTTTCTAGACATGTCTGGCTTGACAGTCATTTTTTACATGTATTTTGCTAAAATTAATTCTAGTGTATGAAAACCTGAGAAATCTGAAGTACATGTTAACATATTTTCCCCTTCTGTTTGAAGTCAGCCAGCATTTTAAAATAGTTTATTGGCAGTGAACATTGTTAACAGTCACACTGTTACAGTTAAGTAATTTGGAGATACTTGATCGGGTGAGGGAGGAATCTGCAGAGAGCATTTTTGGTCAGAAATGACATGCTGCGTTAGACTGTTTATAAAAGGCTTTATTACCGGCCACTTCAATCAGGGAACCAGACAGACACACATCTTCTGATCATACTTCTTTCTTGTCACTTCCTTTCTTTTGTGCCTTCCTTACAGTAAGATGATGGTGCTAGCAGCAAACCACTTCCTGGGTTTGTCAGTGTCATAGCTTGCTGCAAAACACAGCATGAGAGAGGTTATTAAGAATGTTATTTAAAAACTGTAAGGTTATTAAAAACCAAAGATTATTTTAAAATGGCAGAAAAGAATTTAGCAACATTTTATTTTATTTTTTTGTATTTTGCACTGCGAATCGGCTGTAGGATCAATTGCAATGTATTATCAACTGTGTGACTTGTGGACAGAACCAAAAATAATATAAGATATAAAATGAGAACACGACACTGTTGTCTCTATTAAATAGTCACAGACTGCTTCATCATAAGTGAAATATTTTTTATGTATGATTAAGGACCATGTATAAGTAAACGTTTTAGTTCCAAAGATTGATCAGTAACAATAACTGGAGCTCTGAGAATAAAAACTGCTGTTCCAAAAACTAAAGATTTTTTTACAAAACATCAATAAAAGTAGAAAATAGTACACTCAGATATTCCATGTGTGCGTACATGTATTTTATTTCTATCTGTAAAATATGCTTTTTAAAATTTTTGCTTTGTTGTTTTCTGGTGGAGGGGTTCTGTCTTTATCTTCTTAAAAAAATTTTAAGAAACCCAAAACCTTCCCCAGCCTTCATCAGCGAAACAGCTATATCTAGATTCTGTAGCCAGACTAGCATACTGTTCGTTTGGTAAGGCAGAACAAGGAAGTCAGTAGCTTCTCATTGAGGCAGTGCTCCATTTGTGCAGGAATGCAATAGGGCCAAAGACTTTCACCTGAGCTCCTGATTTTTAGAGATCCCATTCAAGCTGATGGTGGTAAATTTTAAGCAAAAGAGAAAGGAAGCTCTAAATGAGAAGCTGGTTACATTGTAGCCTGATCCAGTTTTCTGTGAAGTCAACAGAGATCATATAGAGACATTCAGTTCCTCCTGGCAGAGTCATTGTTCGCCCAGGGGAAGCCATGAGTTTACAGATGTTCAGAATTTTTCTCCCGGAGTAAAAATGTCTGTTCCAGAAGTAACACATTTTGGAAACAACCAGGATTAAGTCTCCTGGGAAACTCTGCTGGGAGAGCGAACATCTATGAACATATGCGCAGAGACACAGCATAGTTCTCCAGCATCCCAGAGTGCTTTGCTCTCAAGGCCCTCCCCACCCCTCCCTTCCTTCCAGAGAGACAGTCCCCTGGCTGTGCAGCTTCTCTACTCTTCAAGAGCTCAGCATTCAAACGTCTGTTCAGGCATCTCTGGATAAGTTTTTCTACCAGAAGAACAAAACTGGGAGAATACTTCCAGATTATTTGAACTCATGTACACAGCAAGAGAAATTCCCATTGAATTGACTAAACATGGGTTAGTCTCCTAGTGCATAAAGTAGCCATTTCTTCCCACTCACACTTATTCCCATTTGGGATCTGTACTCTTTGCCAGATTAATATTTTAATTTTCAGTTTCCATCATTTTACATCCTGAAACCTGAAAAAAAACAAAAGGTGGAAGGAAGCTTGGAATCCCAATGTATCTGAAACTCCAGGCCTTATTTTAGTATTTGGGGGACTGTAAAAGCCTTTATTGAATAATACTGCATCATAATTACCACAATTTTTTATAGACATTTTATATTAGAGCCAGCATTAATGGATTTCAGCTCTTATCTTTGAGAAAAGGCATTCCAGTTGTACATAAACAGTTTCAAACCATGTTGTTCCCAGAAACTGGTGTATAGCACAACTGCTGCAAGTCTTCTCTTACCCAGCTCACCACCTCAGAAGTTCTCTGTGCATAGGTCTGAGGCTACACCTCTTTTTCATTTGTCCCTACAGTGTTGTTATATGCACTAAGAAGCATTGGTACTGCCTTTAATTAAGTGAAAAAAGAATAAACCTGTGTTATGTTTGAGAGGAAATGCTTTTAACAGTTTTCTTTTTCCTAAAACTGTTTCTCTTCAAAATATATATTTTCAACTCCCAACTGTGGGATCAGCAGACTTTGTTGTTCAGAGTGACTGGTATTTTGTTTACTGATTTTAATCTTCCATAGATTTAATAGAACCAAGTGACTCATACCAGAATCTGAAAAGCATATGCTTTTATCACCTTATTGCATCCCATGAAAACCTTATGTGCCTTTGAAGTATAAATTTTTGTAGCCTTTAACTCAATTTGTATTTTCTGTGTAAAGGTGATTTCCAGAATGCTGAATAATTTTTAAAAGAGAACATTATAGTCTGAGTAACTAAGTTATCTTATTATTAGGAGCACATATGTTTTTACTAGACATAGTAAATATGACATCCAGATGCTGTAACCTCATACAGAAAAGTAGATGTATAATTTAGTACTCACTGGATAGCTGTATATACAGTGAGAGCTGGGGTTTCCTATTGGTATTAATGTATTTTGTGTTAATGATCATATTGGGCAGTCAGTAGCTGTAGTCATCCACTGGTTAATATCCCATTTTTGCTTTTGGAGAGTGGCCCATCATTTTGTTGTTTGAAGCATACAGCGTACTACTTTTCTGGGCTAATTGGTGAACAGCATGAGATTGGCAGCTGACTATAAACACTGTGATGCTTGATTGTTAAGGAACATCCCATTGTGTTCCTTTATACTGTAGCTGATCAAAAGGTTAAGGAATATTTGATTCATAAGAAACAGGAAAGTGACCCAGCACAGGCTAGCTTTAAAATCTCCACCAAAGCAAGAATATTGTCCAAGGAATAAGTGAATCAGCTGTCTAGTTAACCCTCCACTTATAGAATGGTGCTAATGACACACTGCAAAGTAAAACAGCAGTTTAATTACACTGTAATCGCAGAGCAGCCAACCTGTAGTTATCCTGCCATACGCTGTGGACTTCTCTACTACTAGTCTGACTGGGATGATATACTTTCTCAGACCTCTGCTTTTTTGTGTGTCCATTATAATATAATTCATCCTTTTCTCTTCTGACTGGTGCTGCTTTTCAAGAATTTTCAAAAATTAAAACATGAGACACTGTTGTTAAGAATAAAATCCAGGTTAATTGCGGATAAATTAACTCACAACTCTGTTAAATGGCTTACATAGAGCCACACAGCAAATAAAGGTAGAGCTAGTGAAGAACTCAGGAGTCCTGCCTGACTTCACATTGGTTCCTTTCTGTATCACTTGAAGGCGGCCCTTTTTTTACCACCTTCCCTCCCCCATGCATCAGTGTGGCAGCTGAGATCATCTGATGCGCTCTCGCCAGGAGCTTTCCGAGTGGAATGTCTGGGACCCGTTCCCAGACTGTTTTCTAGTTTTGTGGACTATTCACTGAATTAGCTTCGCTGTTATTCTGACACAGCCTGAGTTGTTGCCCTTCAGGACACAGTGCAAAGCTCATCTGTTTACTCAGACCTGTGTGAAAGAAGGTGGGGTGTGTTTTGGGGGACTGCATTTTGCTTCGTTTTGGCAATTTTAGATTTTGTGTATGGCTTTGTACACTCATTCAGCCATGTGTTGATGCGTGCATTTATAATAGATGGAAATAAATAACATGCCCATTTCATAATATTTATTTTAACCTTCTGCCCAGAAATGGTAATTTTCCTCATGTAAATATTTTACATGAGGAAAACTGCTGAGCCTTGTCATGGAATGAGTTTAAATTACTGTTTAAAATGCCTTTTGATACAACCTGAATTGGACAGCAGAAAATTAGCCAAATAGAGTACGTTTAGTTTTATGCCAAGTGTCTGCAGAACAGCTGAACGTCCTAATGTTTATTTCCTGTCTTAATGTGGCCTGTTGCATTTTAAGTGTACTGTGTATTCTTTCAGCTCCTGCTGGGCCATTACATTCTGGTGTTATGCTAGAGCAGGGCTATCCAACAGATTGGCCTGCATACCACATGTGGCCCACAGTGGGTGGGTAACGCGTCGCTCCCAGGCTCCTGCCTGGCTGCCACTGCCCCTCTTACTCTGGCTTCAGCAACAGCCAGGGGCTCAGGACTCCCTGGTCCTCCCCCAGCTTCTGCTGCATGCCCTTGCCCCAGGGGCCAGCCCTGCACAGCACAATACAGGCCATGGTGCTGGGGTAACTGGCAGCCCAGAGCACCCTGCAGTACACCGCCACAGGGGATATGACAGGGAGAAAAAGGTGAGGTGGAGATGCAGGGGAGCACCTATGTGCTCGGTGAAGCAAGGTGGATGTCGCCCGCATGCATGGGTGGTGCAGTAGAGGAGGGGAGCACCCACACATGCACCCGTAGTACAATGGTGTGGAAGGAGTCTGCCTGCGTGTGCATGGGGCATGCAGCCTAGGAGGACTGTGGCTGCTGCTGGTGCTGTTCATGTGGTGTGTGGCCCCAGCTTGTGCTGCCTGGACCCTTAGAAGTTGGGCAGCCCTGTGCTAGAGTTTCCAGGGCTATATAGGCTTCCAGCAATATAATAGTCTTATTCTTTGAAGGAAATTGTATAGCAATGTGCATTTGAAACCAAAGATTTTTCTAGGCTTTTATACAGATTTGTTCATACTAAGTTTAAAACAGATTGTGTTTCTTTCTATCAGCTGCATCATCCTATTGCTTATCTCAGTTCACGTTATTCCTGCATTGTTGGTTGCCGGCTCAAGCCAGGGCTTGCCCAGCTGCTCCCCCAGCTGCTCCTACCAGCGCTGCCTGCCTGTATAGTCTATGGCCGAATATTTTCAGATTCGGCCAGATTGAATTGGGACAGTGATTCAAATCACTGTCCCTCCAAATCGCTGAATCCGAATCTGAAGTGAATACTTTACGCTTCACACAGGCCTAAGGGATATCAGTCCCACATGAATTCAGCAATTGAAAGCGAAGTCTTTTGCTGGATGTTTAGTATGGACAGTAGTTTTTCAGCCCTTCTCTCAGTGCCCATCTTCCTCATGAAAATATGGGAAGCTAGACACCTTTCTTACTTGATTTTTTTATGTTTTAATTTCTAAGACAGAGAATGAGCCTGCCGTGTATGTATGAACAGTGCAAAAATATGCTTATGGTTGCTGGGGAGCTATCACGGCTTCAAGTTTCATATGAAGAATATCTCTGCATGAAAACCCTGCTGCTTCTTTCTACAAGTAAGTAGACAATTACAATATAAATGTGAAGGATGCCACTTTCTAACTTGAGATTGGGGCTGTGGGGGGGAACGTATTACTTTAATATTATTACCCAGAGCTAAAGCCAAAAAATGAGTATACCTTGCTGAATTAAAGTACCATACTTGTAGCATTGGTAGTTTGGCACCATTGAGGGAGACTGCTTCTGACCTATATAACTGAATACATCATCAGATTGAATCTGCCTCATGCTAAATTGCAAACTGTATATTCAGAAGGTTGCATGCAGGCAGTTTTGTTTCAAGATTAAAAATTGTAACTCTTTGAAAAGCATGCTGATCTGCAAGCCTGGAATTCCATAAACTGCTGGGTGCAGCTAGGTATGTGTTAACAAAATCCTTCGAAAAAATTGTGCAAGCAAGTGCCAGTACAGTAGGGCAACTCTAGGTGAATGAAAGCTAAATGGGAAAAGTGATTAACTGTAAGTACAGCTGAAATGCTTTGGTTCCTTCAAATTGCCTCCAGAGGGCTGGATTAGGAAGAAGATTTTTTTCATAAATAAGGAAGGTCAAAATGGTGGGTGGGGGGGAGGAGCAGGAGTGGGATCAGGTGGGAATATATTTGCAAGTCCTACTTGGGTGCTAGAAAGGTGCAGATTTTTAACACCAAAAGGGATTTAACCACTGGGGCAACTTACCTAGAAAACGTAGGAGATTTATCTTAACTTGAAGTCATTAAATCCTACTTTTGGATCTTTCTAAAGGGGGTGCTAAGAAATTACAGGCTGGGTTAAATTTATGGTCTGCATTATGCTGGAGATTAAATTAAGGAACAAAATTATATTAATGTAAAGCAGCACACATGCATTCTTAACCATGGTCACTTTCTGTGTTGTATCCCTATTGATCACTGTGCTTCTATCATCCATTTTCACAGGCTGATCATGGTGGCATCCCCATGCCTCTAGTCAAAGGGCCCTGGTGGCCCTGCCCCTCGTTGCTGATTGCCTGTGAGGGCTGTCTATCATGCAGCCCCACCTCTTGTTGCTGATTGGTGGAGAGGGGCAGGGCCACACAACAGGCAGCCCTTTCAGCCATCAGATACAAGCTATTTGATGTTATAGCTTGTAACCAGTCATCTTGCTGGCAACCACCCTCCCCCTCATTATGTTTAGCTATGCATCTCTTGCATGCTATAGTCAGGTAGAAAGATTTTTCTTATAATTCCCAGGCCCATGCATGTGACCCATTTCCAGATAAGCTGAATATTCATGATAAATTGAGACATGATGGGAGTAGCTTTTCTGGAGTCTTTGTTCTCCTGGAGCAAAATAAGGCATTTTTTACTTTAATGCCCAAAAACGTCATTGCAGATAGCTTAGAAGCAATGATAAGATAAAAATAGAGATTTGTTCAACAACCAGTTTATATGGGTGCATCTACACATGACATTATGTCACTGTAGCAAAGCACTATGGTACCGTAGCGTCCAATATAGCGCGCCACTACGGCAAAGTAGCTGCTAAAAATAACCGTGCACTGCACGGATAGCACAGTATGGTTTGTTACTGCACCATGATTTCATACTTCCAAAAGGAAGTACTAAATCACGGTGCAGAAACAACGTCACCATATTGACACGTTTAGACGTGCCCTGTATGACTAAATTTAACCTCCTGCTCAGCAAGGGTTAAATGCCAGTATTACAGGAGTGGCTGAATTATTCATTGTGTTTTTTGAGTTTTGCTTAGTTGATGATAAATCTTGTAAGCGAATAGTAAGGCCTGTAGTCTTAGGCTTTTTGCCCTGTAAATACAGGAGGATTTTATAACAGAGCGCTATGTCTACTGTGATGTAGTGAGGTAATAAATTTACTTAGCAGAAGTATCAAGCAGAGGTAAGTTGCCATTATTAGCACCTCGCTATTCCGTTGGAGAGCACACAGATATTCCATGAGTAGTTCACCTCGGCATATTGGCACCAGACCCAGCGCAGTCTTTGCTTTCAAATCCAGAAACTGGGACAAAGGTTCTTATGAAAGGAAGCATTCACAGTCTCTCGGCTCCACACTTCTGTGTGTTTTTTGAGGCCTGAATTCATGAGACAGCCGCCAGCAAACCCTTTAAGTGTTATAGCAACCATTTCCAGGATCATCATATACCGTCCTATAAATGATATACATGCTGCTGCTAGAATTCGTGTGCCCATGTGTGTAACGAAGCTAGGCCAGACTGTAATATAAGCTTGTACTGTACTATATAGAATGGGACTTAACCGGGACCTTTGGATGCTACTGTAATGTGTGTTTAATGATATTATGTGTAAGCCTGTAGAGCCTCAGTCTGGTACACTGGATGAGACAGAGGTTCTGTGGAAAAAATAAAAAGCAACTATGGAATTAATGCCAGTATCATAATGAAGGGGGGCCAATGTAGGCTGCACAGGAAATACTGGCATTTCCTGGCTTTTGAGTGCTTCACTTTAAAACCTGAAAAGAGAGAAGGGAGTGTGCACGTGTGTGACATATTTTTTTAAGTATCAACTGACTCCCCTTTGGATTATCAGAAGAATTCAGACTTCTAGATCCCCTGCACAGGCCTTTTCACTTGTGTTAGGTGCCATCCTTTATATGGACCGATGATATACAGGCCGGAGGAGTTCATAGTTGTTTGCTGACACCATAGAAACAGCCACGCAAGGAATCATGAGTTCCAGTCAAGGCTCTGGATGAGATTTTGCTTTTAGGCTAAGTACAGATATTTGGGGAGGTTAAGTCAGGTTCAAACTGGCCGCCCAACTTAAACTTAGCTCATCTTAGTGCCGACCATACGCTTACAGACCCAGTCTCAGTGACCAGCAATCAGTCTAAACCTGTAATTGTGTACAAGTTCCATGGACACAAACTGGTCTAAAAATTGGAGAGCCCAGTGTAGGAAAAACCTGGATCTACATAGTATCAGACTCATTTGATTTAGGTCAGACTGGTGCATGGAAACTCTGTCCGTTTTGCCTGCCCTGCCCTGGGGCTGTGAAAACCCAACCACTAGTGGCCCCAGCTCCAGAGCTGCTCTTTTCACTCTTTCCTCCCCCCAGCACTGGTCTATTTTTGCCCCCCCTTCCTCTTCTGACCAGCCATTCCCCTCAATGCCCATCCCACAAACCACTCGGGGTGCAGCTGATTTTATCAGCATTCTCCGGTGCCGGACCCGAGCAAGTCTGCTCTGTTGGCAGAGGAGCAGGAGAGATGGGGTGTAGGTTTGCTGGGGGGACAACCCCACCCC